TGCCAGAACTGTGTTTACAGCTAGTGTAGGTTGCATCTTAAAGGGCCTTCCCAAAAGAATGTGACTACTTTTCAGCTAAAAGCCTCAAATGGCTCAGTAACTTGGAGGATCAGAAGTAAACTCATCCTCCCTCACCCCCCACCACCACACACACATCTTGAGAGAAAACAAAAGGATAGAAAGGTTGACTGGAAAGAAACTGGATTATTAAGGCTCATGCCTGGAGCTACATATGAGCATGTGGAGATCTAGTGGGCAGTTTTATACTTGAGGGGCTGTCATCTGAGGGAGACACTCCTTCAGGAGAGTTTGTTTTGTTCAATGTTGTTTTCTTGCAAGCTCTGGCTATACAGTTTAGATTGTCCTTGAACTCGAAATCCTCCTGCCTGAGGCATCTTACTCTTTTCTTGGTTTTGATGTATATTTTACATATTACACAACTAAAATATATACTTAAATTTTTTTTAGTACATTCTCTGATGTGTAGTAGCAAGTTTTTGAATATGTCATTACTCCCAAAGAAATGCCATAATCCCTCCCTTAGAAGTCTCCTCCCATCCCTTCAGGCCAGTAATACCACCCCCCCACCCCACATGAAGGCATCTCTAGTCTGCTTTCTCTCTGTGGATCTGTTTATTCTGAATGTGTCATATCCACACATATCCATGTAAAGTTCATGCCATTTGTATGTGGCCTTTTGCCTAAGGTAAGTCTTCAAGAGTCAAGTAGCACAAATCCTTTCAATGTCCTTGCTATCCAGGAATGATTGACAGATCGTGTGCACTCTCTGACATTTTAAAGATTATCTTCCCCAGCAGCACCACTTCCAGCATGCTCAGGGGCAGTGGGGGTGGGGTGGAGGGTTGGTGGGGCGCTCCGGCCTCTCACTGGCCTTTCAGAGTTTGTTAGGCTTTATGATAACACTCAGTGCTGTGCAGTGGCCCTTTGAGTTTGTGCTTCTTTCATGGCCAATAATGCTGCTTATTGGCCACAGATACTTTACAAAGATGGGCCATTGGCCTTGTTATAGTGGGCTGTAAGGATTCTTTGTCTATTTGAAACATACATAGTCCCTTTGTACTGGGTGGTTTTGTGTGTCAACTCAACACAAGCTAGATTCTTCAGAGGAAGGAGCCTCTTTTGAGGAAATGCCTCCATGAGATCCATCTGTGAGGCATTTTCTTATTTAGTGATCAATGCAGGAGGGCCCAGCCTATGGTGGGTGGTGTCATCCCTAGGCTGGTGGTCCTGGGTGCTATAAGAAGGTGGGCTGAACAAGCTATGGGAAGTAAACCAGTATGCAGCTCCCCTCCATGTCTGTGCATCAGCTCCTGCCCCAGGATCCTGCCCTGTCTGAGTTCCTGTCCAGACTTCCTTCAGGGATGAACAACAATGCTGAGGTATAAACCTAATTAACCCTTTCCTCCCCAACTTTCTCTTTGGTCATGGCTTTTCATTGCAACAATAGAAACCCTGACTAAGACATCCTTATTAGACACACTTTTTTTCAGACATTTCCCTCTATTCTGTAGGTTCTTTACTAGTGTTCTTGGTGGTATCTTGGTGCGCAGAAGACTCTAATTCTGATCTATTTTGATCTAACTTTTTCTCTTGTTTATGCTTTGGGTGCCTTCTCTGAAGGCCCAGCTTGAGACAAGACCAAGATTCACTCCAATATTTTGTTCTAAGAGTTGTATAACTCCGGCTCCTACATTTAGATCTGTGCTTCATTTTGAGTTCTTCTTGTCTTTGGTATGAAGAAAAAGCTCTAAGACCCCTGAATCTGCAGTCACTGATGTTTGATAGCAACATCCAAAGAAAGAGTGCATAGTATGGATTGATTTAGTTTTGTTTCTAAGTCTGAGCTGCAGCTTTCAGGGTCTTTTTTCTTCTGCACCCTTTCTGTCTTCTATTAAATTGTTTCTTTTGTTGGCTGACTTTATTTTGTGCTGCCTGTGTTACCGGGCATTAGAGTTATTGCTTTTAGCAGCCCTGCAGTCACTGCAAGGATTGACTCCTGTGTAACGTAGAAGCTGCTACAAGACAGAAAAATCTGTGTTGCTTTGAGTTGTGTTTTAGGAATGAGCAACTTATTTTATGTAGTGATTATTAAACAATATTAGGAAAAAAAAACTTACTACATTGCTGTCTGCTCCTAGCCCTGGTATTTTAATTACTGTCAGAGCCAATGTTTGCCAAGGCAAACTCTCAAGAGATATGGTTGTCTTTATATCCATAACTAGCTCTGATTTGGATAACAAGCTCAGGCCTAGTAAAAGGTTTTAGCCTGGGTTGATTTCCAAAACCTGTAAAAATTGGAGATGGACTCAGATGTCTTTGTTTACCCTTGTTCTGCCCTGAGCCTAAGTGTAAAAAAGTGAGTATATTTGTCCTGGGTGGTGGGGGAGAAATGCTTGGGTCAAACCCAGGCAGGAACCTCTCGTGTGTGGGGGGGTGGAGGGTACTCTACCAGTGAGCTGTATCCTCAGCCCTGTCACCTCTCTTGATTTCCTCTAGAGGAAATGATGTCAGATGACAAAGCATCCAAGCTTGAGTCTTCAGTTACTTTATCAAATAGATTGTTGACATTTGCCCCACCCCCAAAGGTTTTATCAATTGTCACTACCCTTCCCTGGTTCAGACCACACTAATGACTGGGTTGTAATCTTCTTGAAGTCTAGCATCACTTCTTCATCCCTTCTTTCTTTGTAGCGCCCAAGCCCAACAGAAAATGTGTAGGTATTGGTGGCAATAAATATTCAACCATACTTGCATGATTTGGCAGCTCAGGTTAGAAGGTATAGTGGAAAGATGACCCATAAACAAAGTCACTTTTCTCTAAAGGTGCAGCTGTGAAGGCGTGGTTCTGATTGGGTTGATGTCCCTCTGGAAGGACATTTCTCTTAACACTAGGCACAACATTGTGACCCATGCTCCTGGCTAAATATTCACAGAGAAAATCCAAACAATTCCAGCTTCAAAATGCTAGGATCAAAATGGCCATAGCCTCAGTGGTGAGGTTAAAACATGCTGGTGATGACATGGAGTACACACTTCCTGGCCAACAGGAAAGTGTTGAAATCTCTGAAATGGCAGTGTGCTTTTAATATGCTAATGAGTTGACTGGTGGTTGATGTATTAGGAAGGGCCCAGGAAAGATCCAGGCATGATTCAAGGGTTTGTGTCATCAGTCATACCCTTCAACTTCTGGGGAGGGCCAAGGGGCTGAATTCTTTTCCAGTGGCCTAATGGCTTAATCAGACTTACACAGTAAAGTTTCTCTAAGAACAGAGGGCAGGGTTCCAAGAGCTTCGGGTAGCTCAACATGAGGAGGTTCCTGGAGAAAGCATAGATGCTTAGTGCCCTTCTTACATTTGCCCTATGCATCTCTTCTTCTGATTCATTGATAACAAACCAATGTAAGTCCCTGTTTCCCGAGTCTGGTGGGCCACTCTATCAAATTAAACATACTTAAAGGTGTTACTGGATTTTCTTGTCCCACCAGGTCCTGCATCACTTTAGCCCCAAATGAATACACAGACACTATGTTAATTATTAAACTATTGAACAATGGCTAGGGCTTCTTGTTGGCTAGCTCTGTCTTAATTATTAATCCATTTCTAGAAATCTATGTAGTTCTACGTGGTCTTGGCTTACTGGAGACTGCCTGGACCTGTATCTCCTTTGGCGGATACATGTCTTATGTTTCTGGCAGGCCCTCTCCACCTACCTTTTCCAGAATTCTTCTCATCTCCTAGTTCCCACCTATCTTCCCGCTTCATTGGCCAAACAGTGTTTTATTCATTAACCAATAAGAGAAACATATATACAGAAGGACATCCCCCATCATAAAGAGGATTTTGTAGGCCCCCCCAGATGTGTAGCCAGTTGTCAAAAGCACAAGTTAAACAACCTGGAGCTAGAGATTGAAATCTGACCTGGGAGAGGGACAGCAGATGTGGGGTTGAACCCATAGTAATTTCAGAGTTGAGTTGGGTGAGAGGTTGCCCTCTTGTCTGGATCCATTCCCTTTCTGTCTCTTACTAGAAGAGAAACAGGCTTCTGAGGGATAATGATATAATAAAAGAATAAGATAAAACAAAACTAACACATTGGAATTGGACAATGTTTGTGGTAGCTGAGAAATATGTATCCAAGTTATTTGTTTTAGTCAGGTTTACCTTACCTATAAGGCTATTTGATTCTCAAGATGAGAGTCTTGTCTATTAACTGCTGTGTACACAGCACCTAGCACAGTGCTTCACAGATAATAGAGTCTCCATAAATTTAATAATTAATGCAGAGCTATGCCCGAGGGTAAGGATTTGTAATCCTAGCTATTAGGAAACTAAAGCAGGAGGATCATAGGTTCAAGGCCTGTCTGGGCTACAAAATGAGAACAAGGCTAGTCTAGGTGACCTAGTAAGAACTTGCTTCAGAAGTAAAAAGGGGGCTGAGGACATATCTCACTGTAAAGTCCATGCTAACATGATTGAAGTTTGAGGACGAATCTCACTGTGGAGTCCTTGCCTAACATGAGTGAAATTCTCAGTTAAATCCCTACTACCACCTTATAAAAATAAAAATAGAAAGATTCTTGACCTGACCTCATTTGAACTCCTGTCCCTTATCTCCCAGGAAATGTCTAGAGTACTATTGAAATTTTATACACACATTGAAGCTCTCTGAGGGTTGACTTTTGATACTATAAAGTTGTAGAGCCTATTGAACAATTTTTATGAATGATATAAGAGGAAAACAAGTATGTGCAAGATCCATGTGCATGCTTCCTGAAATATGAAGAAGGATGTCTTCCAAACTTCCGGAACTCTGGATGAGTGTTTTCTTGTTAAACACAGCAGAGGACCCTGCAAGCCAGGATACTCCCTTTGTTAAATTTGGATTCCTGCTTTAGGTGTTTTCAAGGACAGCACTCAACATATCGAAGTTCTAAGTGCTGATTTGACAAGTCTAACGTGTTCTTTTCTTCATTTGTCTAGAATGTTCCAGACACTTAGAGAATGGTTCTGGTCGGAGAGATTCTGGCTTCCTCCAACAATTAAGTGGTCAGATCTCGAAGACCATGATGGGTTCATCTTTGTTAAAGCTTCCCATTTGTACATGACAATTCCATATGCCCTTCTCTTGGTGATCGTCAGATACTTCTTTGAAAAGTAAGTGGTACTTATCTTTTTTCCCTACCCACCCCTGTCTTTGCTGACTATACCATGGTCAAGTCTAAGATCTAGTCCTAAGATCAAGTCTCAGAGGCTGCAGGTTCCAGTGGAACCTGCGCAATACAGTGCACATGAACATTATTTGAAAACTGAAGAATTAGAGATGTGAACACCATTGGGTGCTTTACTTTTAAAGTCAAAATAAAACAAGATCAAGACAAGGTGAGTGAGGGTGGATGGCCATGATGAGTGCATGGTATAGGTATACTGACTTGTATAATTATCACTACTAATAGCAAATTTCTGGAGGGACAGTGCTAGAAATATCTATTTCTTGAAGATGAGCTGTCAGTCTAGAAATGACTACCTGGAAAATACCCAAAGTGTCTCATTAAGGAGCAAACCAAATACTCCTGCATAGCATAGCTTAATTTTTATAGATGTCCTTTATTCCCAAGCATAAGGAAATCAGAAAACAGCATTAATTTGCTTTCTGAGAAAATAGTAAACATTTTTTTCTTAACTTAATTTATGTATATATGTCTTCAAATCCCATACTAAAACTGTATTGGTGTTCCGACAACAGGAAGCAAATGTTCATGTGTAGTTTCTGCAGTGGCCTCTGCTATGAGCATGCAAGTTCATGTGAAACAAACAAAAAACCCTTTTGAATAGCAGGAGCTGGACACAGTTAAGACAGCCTGATAAAGATCAAGTGCTTTAAGATCAAATGTAACACAGACCCACAGACCATGGGTTTATAGCCACCCGTAGGGTCCTTGTCTTGAGAGTTTGTTTGCCCAGCTCTATCTTGTAGAGTTGCCAAAAGGTTTCTGTACAAAGAGTAGCTTCACTTGGTTAGAAATGCACTGTTGCTATTGGGAAGAGACCCTGGTCTGCCACTAACTTGTATTGGAGTGCATTGGAAAACATCCTTCCCTTAAAAATACTTCTTTTTATTTATGTGCACCGGTTTATGATACCTTCCTTCCTTGAAAAAATCATCAGATTGTTTATGATATGTCTGCTTTGCTCTCTGGTCATCTGGTGCACAGTTGCTTTCTTTTTATATGTCTCTAAACAGTATGGGCTTTCTCCAAAGAAACGTATTAGTCCATCTGGAAGTTGAACTACTTACACTGTTTACCACATTATTTTGTGAAACTTTTACTTAACTTCCATATTTTAAAAAATGAAATAAAGGACTGATCATATGATCACCCATAACTAAAATTCTAGATTTTAATTAAACACAGAAACTTTTCAAAGTGCCAGAATAGACAAACCCTGGCAGAGGTTGCAGTATCTGTCAGAGCTAGAGCAAGAGGATGGGCATATGCTGATTTATTTCTTCTTTTCCTCCTGTGGTGGTTCTTTTTATTTATTTGTTTGGGGTCTTTTTGAGACTGAGGCTCATGTAGCACAGGCTGGCCTTGAACTCTATCTAGCTGAGGATGATCTTAAACTTATGACCCTCTATTTCTGCCTCCCAAGAGCTGATACTAGAGACATGCTAGGCAAGCAGTCTTCTAACTGAGCTACAGTGAACTCATTGCATTTATATGTGTGTGTGTGTGTGTGTGTGTAAGTATGCACCTTTGTATGTGTGTGGATGCATGTGTGTGTGTGCAAATATGTGCACTCACCTGTGGAGGCCTGAGGCTGATGGCAGCCTTCCTCAGTTGATTTCCACCTTATTCATTGAGGCAGGGCTTCTCATTTGAACTTGTAGCTTGAATATACAACTACTCTGTCTAGCTTGCTTTGAGGATGGCCTGTGGGCATGTCTGGAGATTTTCTTGGTAGTTAATTGGGCAGGTGGTACTGGGCAATACAGAGAAGGTAGCTAATATCAGCCTGGGAGGGAGCCAGCAAACAGCATGCCTCTTTGTTTGCTTCAAGATCCTGTTTGAGCTCCTGCCTGACATCCACTAATGATAGACTGTAACCTGTGAGCTAAAATAAACCCTTTCCTCCTCAGGTGTTTTTGATCATGGTATGTCTCAGCTGCTGAGCACTGGAATTGCAGGCAGGCAGGGAGGCAGGCAGGCAGCATGCTCACTTGGCACTTAAGTGGGTTCTGAGATTCCAAACTTAGGTCCTCACACTTGGCATGGCACATGCTTTATCTAATGGACTATCCCCTCTGCTCACATGAATCTTTTCCCCCCATTTGTTACAATTTGAGGAGGGGGTCTCTCTGTTGTACAGTTGAGTATTGAACACATAGTTCCAGTGATCTACCCACTTAGCCTTTCAGGTAGTTGGGAACTTCAGCTTGGACCACATATCTAGATTTACATACTACCATTTTCAAAACTCAGTCTTACTGAGGTTTTAATTTCATGCAGTTCATTAGATGTTTGATGCAAATAGTCACACTGCCATCACCATGATTGTGATATAAATGTCTGTCAACCTGGTCAGTGCACATTATCCTTTTCTACTTACTGCCCTTGGCCATCTCAGTTTGCTCTCTATAAACATAGCTTTATATTTTCTAGAATTATTTATAATTGGAGTTAGAAATAGTAAGTAACATTTTTGTGTGACTTCCTTTAACAAACATTTAAGATTTCTTTTTCATGTATGATGCATATTTATCAAGGTACCAAGGTTTCCATATCACTGACTGGTCTTTGAACATACTTATACATCATACAGATATTTATATTTGAGCTAGTTGCTAGGAATGTGTGCTGTTTAGAGTGTTAGATCACTGTGAATAAAAACCCTGAACATCTGAGTGTAGGAACATGGCTGAGCATGTGCTTTCATTTCCCTTGGGAAAGGTCTAAGATGTTTGCTTTTAAATGACACTGTGTGTGCTACACCATAGGCTGTCACTCAGCAAAGAAAGAGGCAGACTTCCTGTCACAAGCTATGAGATAAAGGAGCCTCCAAGCATTATGCTCATTGAAAACAGCTGAACCTCAGTAATTATATATCATCCAATTCCACTTAGTAAATATCTAAAAAGGTTAAGATAGAACGATGGAAAATAGATTAATAATTGCTTGGGTAAGGCTAAGAAGAAATGGAAAGTTGCCAAGTTATATATTTTTAAAAAATGAACTATTTTATATGTAGAAAATCCATAATAATTATTTTTAAAGACATAAATAAAATAAAAGGATAAGCAACAGACTAGGAGAGAATGTATGTAAGCTATGTATCTTATGGAGAGCTTAAATTCAGAACATAAGATAAACTGTATGACTCACTAGTAAATAAATAAGTGGATTTTTTAAAATAGGCAAAAGATTTGAGTCAAAAATATACAAATAAAAACTAAGCACATGAAAAGCTATTCAATATCAATGGAGTAATGCAAATTAAAAACCACAGTTCAGGCTGGGTGTTGGTGGCACATGCCTTTAATCCCAGCACTTGGAAGGCAGAGGCAGGCAAATCTCTGTGAGTTGGAGACCAGCCTTGTCTACAGAGCTAGTTCCAGGACAGGCTCCAAAGCAATACAGAGAAACCTTGTCTTAAAAAACAAAAACAACCCCCCCCCAAAAAAAAACCCAAAAAAACAGAAACAAAAACCACAGTGTGGAAGGCTGGGGAGGTAAGTCAGCGAGTACAGTGAGTACAGTGGTTCTGCTTTGGTATGAGGATGCAAGTTCAGTCATAAAAATGTCACACGTGGTAGCATTGTGGCACATGCTTATTATCCCAGACTGTGGAGGCAAAGACTGGCAGACTCCTGGGGCTTTCTGGCCACACCAACCTGGCCTAATGAGTGAGTCCCAGGCCAGTAAGAGACCCTGTCTCAAAAAACAAGGTAGATGCTTCTCTAGCATCCACAATCCCATGCATGCACACTCAGACACAATTGTGTGCCCACATGAACACACACCACACACAGAGTGCACACAGGAAGTTAACAAAAAAGTCAAATGTAAGGGATTCTGAAATTTTTTTCTACATAAAAAAACAGCCAAAAGACTAGCGAAAATATTCAGAGTCAGCATTTTTAAAATTATACACAGATTCATAAAAACACAGGGAGTGTTGTGTAGAGAGACAGTTGAGTCCTGGCAAGAACAATGAGTTTTGTGGGACTTTAGCTGCCCTTTCTATCTCTGTGATATTTCTGAACAGCTAAGAGCTCAAGGCCAGTGTCTAGGTGCACTGCTTTAATCCCAGCACTCTGGAGGTAGAGGTGGATGAATCTCTTGTGAGTTTAAGGCCAACCTCTTTTACATAGCTAATTCCAGACCAGACAGGGATACATAATAGACATAGAAACAAAACCAAAACCAAAAAAGTAAATTAAAAACAAAGCCAAGAGCTCACATGTACAATGAAGCCTTGCAGTCTGGCATTCATTGGAAGGGGCGAGGTAGAAGGCTTTCAAAGTACTCATTCTTATACAGAATTGTCCTCACCTGACTGCCTAGTAAATACAAGCCATAGTGTTGTTGTCTGTGTCAGACCTTCCTCATAGTTTACCCCTGGTTCTTTTTAAGGGTATTTTCCTGGGAGTATGGTTATCAGAAACGAAGGTAATTGACTTCCTGGGGAAATAATAATTGCTTCAAAAATTAGATGATGCAAAGAGCTCAAAATGAAAAGCAGAGAATTTAGGTGTATGGAAGGGTTGGGCCATGAAAAGCTCTGGCACATTCTTGGAAATCTTGAAGGCCAGTTTGATGTATAACAATTTGTTTGGGTTCAGGCAAGACTCCAGAAGTTCTTAAGCTCTCTGCTTAAGACTCTGCACAAGACTCTGATGCACTCTGTAAACAAGACAGCGAGCACTAAGGCAGAGTCATGGTGCCTGGATGCAAGTGTCTCTTACCTCAGCAGTCGGAGAGGCTTGTTGGCTCTGGGTGTTGAAGGAATCCTTTGTCTAGTCATTAGCTGTGTAGTAACTGGACAAGCTGTAGACTTCAGCATCCACACACGAACAGGATAGGACATACAGCTCAGGGTTTTTAAGTGACTCGACATACAAACAGACAAATAGAACAGAACAAACTGTGATGGGGAGGTGATCTAAGGTCAGCGTTACCACCTAACATGCAACAAAACCCGAGCAGACATGGAAAACTTGGGAAATTATGGTACATACACAGAAGACAGTGTCTTTGAGGAAGACCAGGTGTTGGATTTATTGGAAAAGAATTTAGAATTTGCTATTTGAAACATTTTCAAAGAATTAGAGACAACCATGCTGAAGAACAAAGGAAAGGAGGAAGACAATACCTCACCAAACCAAGTCACAATAGTAATAAAATAATAGAAATTATAAAGCAAGACAAAGATCCAACCAGAGATTGTAAAATTTAAAAATGTATGACTGAAGTGAAAAATAAGACTGCAAAGGGTTTTGATAACTTAAACTACTTATTAAAAATCTACCAAGTTAGTATGGCTATATTTTCATTTGTAAAACTTTTTAGACTATTTATTTATTTGCATAAATTAATAATAATAAATCAGTGTTGATTAGAACATAATATATAAAGACATGATTTGTATGATAATACAAAGGGGGAAAGAATGGATTTCTGTATCCCATTGAAAGCAATTTGGTATTAATTTGAATCAGGATGTTATAAATTAAGATGTATATTATTATAACCAGAATAACCATTGAGAAAATAATTTTAAAAATAATAAAATATGAGAGGATTTAAATGGAATACTAGAAAATATCTAACATGAAAGAGGATAGTAATTAATTAATGAGACAAAGAACAACACACACACACACACACACACACACACACACACACACACACACACGAAAAACAAGTAGCCAAGTGGCAAATAGAAATCCTTCCTAATTTGTAATTGAACATAAATGGATTAAATGCTGTAATTAATGAGTATAGCTGGGAAGAATTGACAGAAACACATTCTCCACCTATGTGGGGCACACAAGAAACACACTTCAGGTTCAGTGATGCTTGTAGGTTGAAAGGAAAAGGACAGAAGTGCTAACTATCCACTAAGGCAGCGGCTGAGAGAGAGCTGGAGTAGCTACTGTTCTCAGACAAACTGAACTACATCTACCCTAAAAGTGTTAGTACAGAGGATGCTTTAATAAGATATAATAATTATCAACAAGGGTATATATAGCAATAGAGTTCCAGTACATGGAACAAAACTGACATTATAAAAGGGAGAAAATGGCAACTCAACAGTAATATTTTTTTGTTGTTGTTTTTCATTTTTTAGTGCCAGAGCTGGAACCCAGGGCCTCAGCATGCTAGCAGGTTCCCTACCTTATCCCATCCCAATAGTTTAGGGCTTTCTATAAAGGCTAGAATAACTAGGCAGGAAATTGGAAAGATAATAGGTTTAAACATACTCTATCAGCCTTGGAGAGCATCTCTAGAACACTCCATTCAACAAGAGCAGGTCCTTGTTCTTCTCTTGTACACAGAGGATACTCTCTATGCCAGGCCCCAAACACAAATCTCAGTGATTGTGAAGGGGTGGCAACCATCCACATGAAGGAAAGCTGGACACCATAACAGAAAGAAACCCTGGAGATTAGAAAATGAATTCTGGTGGGAAGTGAATAGAAGCGGCTACCCAGCCAGTGTAACTTCGGTGGCTGACTAAGCCAAGCACCTAGGGGACTTGAGGAAACTGGAAATGTGACATGCAACTGCCAGGAATGTGAAATGACACAACTACTTTCGAAAGCAAATGTTCAGTTTCTTAGAAAGCAATGAACAGTTAATTTAACCTTGGTGGTCTTAAAGTGAAATTCTAAACACTAGTTCACCTTATTCCCAAATCTTACTCAGAAATGTGTTTGGATTCACAATGAAATGAATTTCAAATTGTGTTCTGCATCATGTATTCTTAAAGTATTGCTTGTGCTGTGCGTAGGTCTGAAAATGTGCTCACTTTGGACTTAGGTTTGGGGAGGTTTGTTGCTACCATTTTGTTTGTCTGTTTTTTTGGGGACTCTATAGCTTAAGCTACACTGGAACTCATTGTGTAGCCAAGGATGACCTCAAACTCACTGTAATCTTTCTCCTTCACACTCCCAAGTGCTGGGGTATAGTCACTAGCACCATGTCTGGCATTGTCTTTGGAACTTTTGAAGAGCAGAGATGGGCTGTAAGTAGCTCCACTAACAATGTGTTTTAGTCAGATTTCCATTGCTGTAACAAAATACCCCAAAGCAATTAAGTTATAAAGTTCCAGTCTGAAGCTGAGTGACCTAAGCGCTTTGGCTATGGTCAGGTGCCATAGCTTAGCAGGAACATGTGGTGGGGGCAGGCTGTTCATCTCCAGGGGAGAAAGCAAATGGAGAGACTTCCCACTAGACCTGCCCCTTCATGGTTTACCACACCTCCTAACAGTACCACCCTAAGGACTAAGCTTTTCAATGTAAACCATTCATTGGGCACATTCAGTGTCCAAACTAGAATAGTGAAAGCAAATGCCTGAGCTTTCCCTGGACACCCAAAGGTACAGCCTGGGTTTTCTGGTGCAGTTGTCAACTTTGACTTCTCAAATCTTCTTCTCATATTTTGTAGGTTTGTTGCCACACCTCTAGCAAATGCATTTGGCATTCAAAAGACAGTGCATAAAATTAAGCCAAATGCCACCTTAGAGAATTTTTTCAAGCATTCCACAAGTCAACCATCACATGTAAGTAAAAACTCTTTGCTTGTAGATATAAGGACCTGCTTTCTTAATGGGTTAATTTCTTTGTTCATATAAGGAAATAACTTCCACTTGACCATCAAAGGATTTGACTTGTTAGATGCATTTCTTTGTTCTATTGACAGATTGCGTAACTCAAATGCTAGAACAATATAAATATGTATTATAAAGTTACTGACATTAATAGTTAAAGCATTACTTTCAGCTGTAGTATCACACACTAGCAGTTGGCACCATGATGATATTTAAGGATAACACTTTAAGCTAGGTGCTGTGGCCCTATCAGAATACATCATAAAGTGTTCATGAAGTCAACTTTTCACACTTGCCCTTGTTTTATCCAAGACTTCAAAATATCCAGAAACATGCAGAAGCCCTGAGTTCTTTCTCAATACAAAGTAACCTTGGGTGGTGCAGTTTATATATCACAGAACATTTTATTTCATAGTTGTAAAGTCATGTCTAGGCACCTCAGTTTTGTTATATAGCATAGTTAAAATGGCAGCAAAACAGGCTTCCTCCAAAGCTGCACTCCTCTAGAATAAATAGACGGCCACCACCTATCTTTTCAAAAATCAAGACTGTCTTACCAACATTTTAGTGGGAAGTGTTTTAGCTTTTTAAACCTCATTTGATGAAATGGATTGACTATCAGCTGGAAATCATTTCTCTGGCAGGGTCCTTGCAGAGGGAAGTGTGCTGAGGTTTGCCACAGCATAAAGCCTTGAGTGTAGTGTGGCTGCATGTGACTACTTTTCTCAACAAGGACAATATGGCAACCTGCAGCCACCTGCTTTCTGTCTCCATGTGCCCTAAGTGACCATGGTCACCTATCTAAATATTTTGGTATCATCTAGTGATGATGTGTGGAGAATTGGGACTCTTCTGAGGGGTCCTTCTAATCCTGTTTGTGTTTGGGAATAGCTTCCATAATACCTTGCATGAAATGTGTATCTCCTCTCAACTGTACTTGTTGAGACCAAGAGCTACAAGTCATTGGAAAGGGTGTGTGTGTGTGTGTGTGTGTGTGTGTGTGTGTGTGTGTGTGTGTGTCCACAGGCTTGTGCACATGCGCAGGTGCTCTTGTGCCCTGAGATGTTCAGAGGACAACTTTTGGAGTCAGTTCTTTTCTCCCACCTTGGGCAACAGGCATTGAGTTCATACTCACCTGGCAAGCTCTTTTACCTGCCAAGACATCTTGAACCTCTGAAGACTAAGATGTTTAAAATAATTGAGAAAGCTTGCTTTCTATGGGAAGAAAATGGTCATGTGACCGTTAAAAGAAACTGGAAGAGAACTAGACTAGGTGACATTCATGACAGCTGAGGAAATGAAGGCCCAGCAAGAGGAAGGCAATTACCCTGTGGTTAGTAAGCAGCTAGACAGAAGCAGGAGCCCAGCCCATACTTCCCCAGTGCTCTTTCAACCCTACCCAGGGACTTCATCATCCATCTACAGCATGGAAAAAATGCAAATAAAATAAAAGCAAACACACACACAGTTGGAGTTGTGCTTGTTTCAACTCCACAAACAGTGAGGTCCTTCTTGGCATGTTATCACCCAGACATGTCTACCAAGTGAGAGAAAGGGCATCATGCATCATCCCACAGTATTGGTGAGCTTCAGCTACTAAACCATGGAGATGATGGGAAAGTTTCCTGATTCTCAGTGCTTCTGGCTCACAAAAGGACATGTATTTGTGTGGCTGACCCTGATAGCAAGACAAACACCCATTCCTCAATGTTCCAGACTTAGGAAGATAGAATATAATGCAGGAAAGCAGTTATGCCTGACTAGTGACTCAGATATGGAAACAAACTAATATCACAAGACCATCATAGGCTTTGGTCAACACCATACTGATAACTATTTCTTCATTTATAGCTGAAGTTTAAAGCAAGCTTCTGGGTGAACTACATGATTACTATATGTAATCAAGATATGAGTATAATCATGACAATCATCCTAGAATGACAGGACAGTCATCCCTGTAGGTGACACCTGGATTTATTCAAACAATTGGGCCCCTAAATCTGAGGCTGCTTTTCTAGCTGTAGATTGCACTGAAAAAAATGGCAACAAATTTCTGAGTAGCCAGGGGTGTCTATCCTGTGATGTGACTCTGTCATCTACAAATATGTAGGGCCACATTCACAACTCCCTTGAGACACATGCAGCCCAGAAGCCACAGGCTGTGTTATGTGCGTGTATGTGGTATCAATCTTGGGCTCCATGATTCACCCTTCTTGTGTGATGCTTGGCACACAGAAGTAAAGGCCAGGGACTAGAATTTGAGATCTATTCTATCAACTTTGTGTCTGTCACATACAGAGTTCTATGGACTATTTTAGAAGATGCCTTTTCAATGTAGACTAGCCCCAGAGAGTAGCACTGGCTTCTTAATTGTGCCTGTTTCTATTCCCATAGCAACTTGAACTCTTCTTTGTGCATTTTAGGTGCTAGTTTCATTTGTTAAGAGAACATCATTGTCTTGAAGCTTTTGTGTGCAAGGCTCCTCTCTCAAAAAGATAGAAGTGTATGAGGCCAATATTGTCAAGATGGGCTTCCATCTAGGCACCTCTGTATTCTTAAAACCAGAAGGAAAACAGTTTCCAGCCACATATAGTTTTTATCTTCTAGATGCATGTACCAAACAAGTGTTTGTAGAAGTGGTACAATAATAAAACCAGATTGGTCTAAGACCTGGGAAATTTCCAGAAAAGAGGCAAGACTTGGTTTGCTTTGCTCACTACTGAATCTCTAACAGCTAAAGCTGTGCCTGATCCACGGAGAACCTAGAATCCTGTGCTCTGGCTACTCAGAATAGGCCTGTGACAGAAGATGGGCCAAGCAACAGAATTTGAATTACATCCTGTTGTGTGGCATCAATAGGCTTTTAGGTTACTTTAGAAGTAAGGAAGTGTGTATTTTTTTTAAAATTTAGGACATGATTTTCAGCCACAGTCATTTTCTATTGTGGATATAAGGGTTTCCAGCTTTGGCATCACGGGATTATTTATTTATATAGCACATGCTTATCCTGTGAGCCTAAGCCACTCCTCTGAGGCAGGTAGAAGATGCTTTTATCCAATGCCATTTTCCCACAGGCCAGAGTGTGGTGCTCAAGGCTCTCTGACTAGGGGCAGCAGGGTCAGGTCTGTGGTTCTCAGCTTCCTATCTTGCCTCCACCTTGTGTTGCCTGGATTTCTAGAACATCCTTTATTTCTTCTATCCAGAGAGTATGTTCCTGGTGCCTTCTGTGTTCCAGTGTCATCTTGTGATCATATCCGACTTGGGGTGGGAGGCTCTTGCTGTGGAAAACAGAAACTTAGCCCAGAAAGGCAGCACGTGAACATATGTGATGTCTACATTCAGTCTCCCTCCTGCTCGTTCATTATTACAAGAGTGAGGTCTTCAATACAAGCAGGCTGTAACCCACCACATCCATTCTGGACATGATCTTCCCTGAAGTGACCAGCCCCATCTCTCCTTTGCAGCTGTGTCCTCCTGTAGGGGCTGCTTTCTGATCCTCAAGTCTTCCCTGAGCACCCTACTGTCACCTCTAGATGACCACATATAAGGTCCCTCCCCATCTTCTCCAGAGTATTTCAGGGTCACTGCAGTGTGACTTCCAAATGTATTGGATAAGATCCACCATACCCTGTCCTTTCCGTATCTCACTACTCTTCTGCTTTGTTGTAAATCCTTGCTGACTTTTAGGGCAGACAAAAGGCTGACTGGTTTAGATTTTCATATTCTAGTATGACATCTGGTAGAAGTAGATACCAGCAAACAGCTGCCCATTCAGTCTTTTCAGAGAAACAAAACAGAACAGCCAACAGTATCAGAGTTGCTGACCTATAACAGGTTGTTAAAGGGGCTGCTTTGTGGGAAACAGTGATGCTGGTGTGCTCTGGTCTCTGTTCTCTTTCTTCTCTTCAGGTTAATGAAGGGCCCACCTCTCAGTAGAGACACAGAAACACAGTTACTCTCCTGGCAGGGTTCAGCATGTAGCTTCTGGTGACTGTGCACTGTAGTCCTGATCTCTGAATGACTTTGTGATCCATACAGGATGATATAGTGGAAGCTATCTGGCTGGTTGTGACCTGCTGGGTGACCAGCTGTTTGGCCCACAAGCAGGCTTTGCCTGCCACCCCCCCTCCCAGAGTGCTCACTTGCAGTTAACTTAAATTTACTGTAAGGCTCTCATTAATAATTTAAAAAATGATTTCACATCAAAATCCTAGGACTGTATTTTCTCTCTGGAAATGTTAGGGCTTAGTCTCAGCTGGCCCTTTGGGGTGGGATCTGCTGTGTCATGCCTTTTCCTCTGTCCATCAGCTGCAGCTTGTGTGTTGGGCAGGAAGCTGACAGCTTTAGGTAATTTGATTTTTTTTTTTAAATAACAGAACTAAGAGGAAGTTATATTATATTAGAAAACAAATGTTCAAGAGATCAATGTCATTTCAAAAAATTGGTATGGAGCATGTTCCTTGTGGATGTGGAGAGCATTAGTTACTGGGGGTCTAATGTACAGAACATGTCTGTTAAAATCTCTCTGCAAAATGGACCTGACCCTTTTGGCCATTCACTTTTCTTTTCTGGCTCTTGCAGACCTTGAAATTTGTAACCTTTGGGCATTAATTCATCATCTTTGTTGTTTCCTATTTTAAGTCATAGCCTATAAAACTTGTGCTTCCCAAAGGAGAAACAATCATCGTTATTATTCTTTATAACCATTATTTTAATGGTTGGAGATAGTTGGGATTATTTTGAAATCGGCTGTGTATCAGGTTGATTGTGGAAGCAGATCACCAATGCCCAGTGGGGCTTTTCTTGGATTATCTTCTTTGACTACCAGAAAGACCAAAGAAACAAAATGCCCACTAGCTCAGGTCTGATTGGCATATGGCTACCATTTTCATATCTTGCACAAGTCCTAGCAACTTTCAGACAAAGCTTCTGTGTCTCTGTAGGAAATCATGTTTGGTTGGCATTTTAAACTCTACTACTTTACCCGGTACCTAGGAGGCCCTAAATAAATCATAGTAAGCTCATACATACAGTCCAGACATATGGTTTGCTACTAATGTGTAGATGGTTGGTCTTTCTTGGTACTCAGCAAGCTAGGATCCCCATATCTTCTGTTTGCTGTTGACTTGGCTTTGGCTTGGGGATCTGTGTGTACAGATGTGATTTCATAAGCCGTAGAAATAAATTCCCTGGCTCACAGTCTTGTGCCTGTCTGCTCTAGTACACACTGTCCCCGGACTACTTGACATCTGACCCTGTCCTTTGCCTTAGTTTTTACAGTTACATTGTGTGTGTGTGTGTGTGTGTGTGTGTGTGTGTGTGTATGTGTGTGTGTGCGTGTGCGCGCGTGCTAGTAAGCTCTCATGTGTCAGGATGTGCCCATGGAGACTCTCCTCAATCTGCCATGCCCTGCCTTTCCCTGATAGAACACCATGTCTTTCTGACCTTGTTCTTCTTTTCTTTTTTTCAGACTGAGGTTTATGGACTGGCAAAGAAATGTAACTTGACAGAGCGCCAGGTTGAGAGATGGTTTAGGAGTCGGCGGAATCAAGACAGGCCTTGCAGGGTGAAGAAATTCCGGGAATCTTGGTAAGAAGGATGGGCAGCTTGTGCAGCACTGTCATAACCAAGGGTGTCATCGTGGCAGAGAGCACACTGACACTACGGGGGAGGTAACAAGCTGAAGCACAGAGTGTGATCTTACAAGAGGAGCAACACCCAGAGTTATTTCAAATGTGGAAAAAGATTTATTCCTTTTTTTTTTTTTTTGTTTTTTGTTTTTGTTTGTTTGTTTGTTTTTTTTTTTTTTTTTTTTGAGACAGAGTTTCTCTGTAGCTTTGGTGCCTGCCCTGGAACTCTCTCTGTAGACCAGCCTGGGCTGGAGCTCAGACATCTGCCTGCCTGCCTCTGCCTCCCAAGTGCTGAGATTAAAGGTGTGTGCCACTACTTCCCAGCTGAGATGTTATTCTTCCTATCCTTTATTCCCTAGCCTCTTCTGAGAGGACCAGATACCCACACTCTAAGGTGGACCCAATGCCTATGCAGACATTACTTAGCCTGTAGCCCAGGAAGTCCACAAATACATCTTAACTGGTGTTCTTCTTTCTTGGGCTGAGTTAGAAAGGCTCAAGACTTTCTCCCATGCCTGCTGTCCTTAAGGCTGGAGGAACAAGGGTGTGAGAATGTATCCTAGTGCATTTCCCTTGGAATATCACACATATACACAAAGGGTTTGATCATGCCCACCCTTGACTCTTCCTTCCACCCTTTCCCACGACCCTCTCAACACATTTCCCTCCTACTTCATGCATTCTTCTTTATTGCAATGATCCCCTGAGTGCAATGAGCACTGCCCATATGTGTGTGGGTGCATCCGAGCTTGGGTATCCTTCCACTGGCCATACCTCTGAAGATAAATGATTCTTCTCTGGAAACCATCAGCAGTAAATAGTTCTTCTGCTGGGGTGGGGCTCACGAGCCTCTCCTCCATCCACACAGAAATGCTGACCAGCTTGATCCTGTGCACGTTTGTTCTGCTGATGTGAGTTAACGCATGCAGTGGCCATGTCCTAGCAGAAGACAGTATTTTCCAGTACTTATCACTGTCCTCTGGCTCTTCCCTTCTTTTAGCCCCCTCTCCGGCAATGTTCACTGAGACTTATGGCAGAGGTTGACATTGATGTCCCAGTTAGGGCTGAGAACACCCAGTGATTACTAACTGGCTAGTATTAACTGTTGACCACCCCAGAAAGAAATTTTCTTGCCAGTTTTGAGAACGGCACTGAACTGTGGGGTTAAACATAAATATTTGGAAGGTATTTTATAACATGCACATTCAGCAAAGCAACAGTAGTAGTAGATTTCTCCCTAGGGCCTATGCCCCTCCTCCAACTGTAGGCTTTTGATTAGATTTATAGGAGCAGGAATGAATTCCCTCCCATGAATGGGAGGACAACCAATAGCTTTCTGGGCTTGAGGACTTATTCATGGGAAGGAATTCATTTTCTTTTCTCTTTCTTTTTTATTTTGTTTATTTTGAAAACTATTCAGCTTGTTACCCATTTCTTGATTGTATGGCTTATTTTGTTCTGTTTTGTTTGTTTGTTTTTTATTTATTTGGTTTTTGCAGACAGGGTTTCTCTGTGTAGCTTTGTAGACCAGGCTGGCTTCAAAGTCACAGAGATCCAATCCACCTGCCTCTGCCTCCCAAGTGCTGGGATTAAAGGTGTGTGCCACTATCACCCAGCTTGTTTTATTTATTTTTATAGTTCTTTATGTCATCTGTATAGTCACCCTGTCTGGTGCATAGTTTGCATTTCCTAAGCTATCTACATGTCTGCTCTTGAGTGACTATCATAGTGCTTTTACAGTTGCGGTTCTAGAGTATACTTTGAGATCAGGTATTACAATGTGTCCAGCATTGCTCTTTGCACTATTTGGGTTTTTGTGCTTCCATGTAGATCTTAGGCTAAAATGACAGCTAGGGTTTGTGCTTGTATTTATACTCTAGCATAAATGTTCTTCAAAGATTGTGGTGCCAGATTCCCTTTCCCCTCACATGTCAATCACTGTTATGGAAAACTGAAGCCTTTTCTTTCTTTTGGCAGCTGGCGATTTACATTTTACTTAATGATAACTGTGGCTGGAGTTGCATTTCTTTATGATGTAAGTTGTCCTTTTCATATCTTTGGAATTTGTCTTTAATTTAAAACATTTTTGGCCTATGAATTCTATTAATGCAAAGCTCTCACCTCCAAAGGCTTTATTCTGGAGTTTATTCTGGAGCCAAGTAAAAGTGGCCATGACCCAGAAACACAGATACAGGCTACCCCAAATTCCATCTTCCTGTGTGGCAATGCTTTCTTGAGGTTTCATAGTAACAAAACAAAGCAAATCATAATGAAAACACTTTTTAAATATGCTGGTGGAAACACAAGACCAGCAGGAAACACAAGAGCAAGGCAGGGATCTACATCTGAATGCCTAAATGCCATAAAGCAACCCTTTGAACCTTTGGTTGGTAGAAGATAAGGGTCTCTTTGCATATTACAAAGGATTTGCCTAATAGCCATAAAGATGGTAAATCACATATAGAGGTGGATAATTAGTGGACATTAATGGAGCTAATTATGCCCCAAGATAAATCGAAATTAGGTCCTGACCCACAACATTCCAACCTTTCCATTGAAATTCTAGTCAGTCAGCCTTACAGATAGCTCAAAGTAAATTGTCTTTCCCAAGGAACTTCATTCACAGTTCTTTTAGAACATAATACTCCAAAGTTAACCAGCTTGAGAAGTGTCTCCATAGAATCAAAATATTTTTCAGGCTATTGGTGTAGCTCAGTGGCAGAACACTTGTCTAGCACCAGCAGGGCCCAAAATAAGCCTCCTGGTGGTTTTTGGGTTTTTTGAGACAAGATTTCTCTGTGTAGCTTTAGAGCCTGTCCTGTAACTCACTCTATAGACCAGGCTGGTCTCGAACTCACAGAGATCCACCTAACTCTGCCTCCCAAGTTCTGGAATTAAAGGCATGTGCCACCACTGCCCAGCTTGCCTCCTGGTGTTTTATTGCTGTAATTGTTTCAAGAACTTTTTGCCTTTTCATTTATTCATTTATTTATTTATGTGCTTGCTTATTTTTTGTCTCTCTCTCTTTTTTTTGTTTTGTTTTTGTTTTTTTGTTTTTTGTTTTTTTGTTTTTTTTTTTTGAGGTTCTTAGTATGTGTCTGAGGCTGGGCTAGAACTCACTATAAAGTCATACCAGCCCCAAACTTGTAATCTCCCCATATCAACATCCCAAGTGCTGAGATTATAGACATTTGTTACTAACCCAACTCAAGGTACAGATATAATAACTGATCAAGACATTATTTTCTTCATGTATTTATTTGTCCAAAATAGTTCCTTCAACAAGACAGTCCTATTTTTGACCCCAGATTCACTGTAAGTAGTGAATTCACAGTGTTGTGTAGGAATGTGAATCAGTGCCCACAGAAATGCATGCAACAGAGCAAACAGGATCTGCACAAGAGAGCTAGTGCAATAGTGAACACCACAGGTGAGTCTGTGTGGCAGGAAACACAGGAGTCTGTGTGACAGCTTCCTGCTAAAACCAGCTTTTGACTGACAGTTGTGTCCATTCTCTTGGCTTGTCTTTTTTTCAGAAACCATGGGCGTATGACCTCTGGGAGGTTTGGCATGACTATCCCAAGCAGGTAAGTCATCCCTAACATAGCCGGCCACTCCCTAACTTCAGCACTGGGGTGAGACACCGCCCCAGATCTCCATGTGGGGCCTTTTTTGTTTCTGTGTTTGTTGTCTTTGTTTCTTTGTTTGTAGTCTGCTTGTTGGCCTTAAACTCAACACACATCTTGGTTGTCCTTGAACTTGTAATCCTCTGCCACCATTTCCAAAGTAACAAGCTAAAATTAGTCTTTTTAGCATGTTAGCCTCAGCATGAACAAACAAACAAACAGAAGTCAGAAAGTGGGCTGGAATGATGGCTCACTGGTTCAGAGCACTTGCTGCTCTTCCAAGACAACAAGGGTTTGAGTCTTAACTCACATATGGTGGCACACAACTGTCCACATCTCCAGTTCCAGGGGATCCAGTGTCTTCTTCTGACCTCTGCAGTAACCAGACACACATTAGGTCCTTACATACATGCAGGCAAAACATCCATACACATAAAGTAAAATAATAAAAATGAAATGAAACAACAGGGAAAGGGAACAAAAAAACACTAGAAAGAAAAGTCATGCTCAATACACAGGCCACAGTCTAGTCCTATTAATGCTAGGCCATTTCCTCACCTCAAGAGCATCCCTTATCATCTGGAACATAACTATCCTCAAGCCTAGTGTCAAAACTTGCCAGCCATTAGTTACTCATGATTTGGGTTGGCACTGGGGCCTAGACTAAGGGAAGCAGATCGGTTCCATTTATACATTCCAAGTCAGTTGGTGGCCTTACTCCTAATTTTATCAGCTGGAGTCTTTTCTGTGGCCTCTTTGGTATAATAGCACAACATTCTTTTTTGTTGTTGTTTTTTGTTTTTTGAGACAGGGTTTCTCTGTGGCTTTGGAGGCTGTCCTGGAACTAGCTCTTGTAGCCCAGGCTGGTCTTGAACTCACAGAGCTCCGACTGCCTCTGCCTCCTGAGTGCTGGGATTAAAGACCTGCACCACCACTGCCTGGCTAGCACAGCTTTCTTTAACAGTGCTCATGAAGTCTATGCTTGTATTACACTGACTACTCTACTCTCTTCTTGGCCAAGTACCAGGATTAAATCTATGGTCATTGTGGAAGGAGACCACGTAAGGCTGTAGATATTAAAAGGTCACATTCAATGGGTACATTAGATAACATGTCTCAAATCTGAGTTTGCTTCAACGTCTCAAGTAGCAGTAGAAGTTAAATTACTTTTATTCAGAAGACAATTTTAGAGTCCTTAAACAATTGTATATCTAACATAACTCACATTAAGCTAAAAATTAGGCATTTAAGCCACTGCAGCTTCCTGCAATTTTGATGAATACAAATGGGTTTCAGGAAATAGAAACACGTTGATTGTGAGGTCACATTTGGATGACTGTTTCCCTCTCCCTCAGCCTCTGCTGCCGTCTCAGTACTGGTACTACATTTTGGAGATGAGTTTTTATTGGTCACTGCTATTTAGCCTGGGCTATGATATCAAGAGGAAGGTAAGTGCTGCTATGCTTACAAAACTTGGTTTATCCATTCCTTCAAACTTCTTCATTCCTTTGTCCCTAATTCTACATGTAAATTGTAGTATGTGTATAGTTAGCTCTAGTCATTGGCTACTTTTGCTTTTGATAGTGGATAGACTAATTCAAATTATACTTATGTTCTGATGTCCTGATAAATGCCTATCACAAAACAGCTGTGTTCCTGGTCAATAAGAAAATAATTCTCCTCTGTTTTGTTTGGCTTTGGGGGGCAGGGTCCCCTAATGCACAAGAAAACCTTGTTAGTATAATGACTTTAACTCTACACTGTGTCTTTTACTTGATGGCAAACTTTATACAATTCTTTCTAATGATTTTAAAGCCTTTGGAATGACTACCCACTCCTTAATTACTTTGCTATCCCTATGAAAAACCTTGTTTTAAGCACATGTAGCTTTGCTTTATTTGCAGGGAAAACTGAGTCACAGGTATTCTTGATGTCACAAAGTGATACATTTCAGGGCTGTCTAGTTTACTGCATCACTGGCTCAGCTGTCATGTTAGACCCTTAGTGCAGCCACAAGGTCTCCTCAGCAAAGTGAATCAAAAAGACTATTGGTGCCTCAGGTCTTCATACAATAACTCAGCACAGAATTGTAGCATGCAGACATGTCTGTTTAATAAATAAAGTTAAGATCAGGTCAATATTAGATTAAATGGAGCTGCCTTATTAAATAATGTTCTTTGAGTTGAAGGGTAATGCAGCCATCACTAGTGGGTACACTGCAGTCCACAGATATCTTCAAAGAAAACTCATAGCATCTAAGAATACAGTGTACAGCACCATGGAAAGAGTAACAGAAGTTACAGTTAGATGACAAGTGTCCAGTGCTGTTTCAAAGTTAAATTACTTCATTAATAAGGGTTATATTTGCCCTGGCTCCCCCCATAAGAACTGTGTTAAGAAGGAGAAAAATGCATACATGCATACATACATACATACAATACTAAATGTCAAAACATTCAGATGTAAGTTACTGGTACCATTATTATTCTCTCTTCCAGTCACTAGGAAATAACTGCTTTTGCTTAATGGCTTCCATTTTCTCTCATTATGTAGGATTTCCTCGCTAATGTCATCCACCACCTGGCTGCCATTAGTCTGATGAGCTTCTCCTGGTGTGCTAATTATATCCGCAGTGGGACCCTCGTGATGCTGGTGCACGATGTGTCTGACATTTGGCTGGAGGTAAATGTTTGCCATTTAAAGAAATAATAATAGTGCCATGCTCTGCTTTTCACTAAGTGCTCACAGAAAAAATTATCTTTGAGTGATTTGGCAGAGTCCTTTGTCCTGAAAACAGATGAAATCTAAAAAGGTATGGGCTCCCAGACCCTTTGACATGAAGCCTCTCAGTGTCTGTTTGCAGTCTCTGTGCTGTGGGAGCCAGAGGCTGGTCTGTGGAATTGTGTTCATGGCAGCTGCATGCTGCTGCCCATTCAGGAAGTGATGTGAGATACTCAAATGAGAAACCAAGTCAAATTTTTTAAGAGGCAAAGCTTGGAAATGTTTGCTTTCTGGATTCCCAAAGTTGGACAGCTCCTTCTGCTACTTTAGCCAGTGGCTGGCCGCTTGTTGAATACCTCCAATCCTTCTTGCTTTAGGAAATGCCAATTGATGTTTATAAAACAGCATCTGTTTTCTAATGGAGAAAGAAGGCTTAGAGTGTGTCTGGAAGCAGAGAAAATTAAGACAAAAGCCTTCCTATTTCTATATCACACAAAATATGAGGAGCAAAGGCATGGCAGGGCAATATATTTCTCTACCTCTCTGTTAGCATCAGTCCCTGTTGACATGGGGCTGTGGTTGAATGGTACCATTTCTGTCAGGTCGCCTGCTATTATTATACAACAGCATTTCCCAGGACCAGTTTATGATTCACTTATGAGAAACCCAAGTGAAACAATGCTAAACTTCTTTACACTTGGGGTTGCTCCTTGCAGTGCTAATAATTGGATATAAGTTGATATGGAAGAAATTAAACTTAATAGAATTTCCTTCTTTCAGATTGGGGTTCAGCCAACTTTTGATAAAGGGTCAGAGAATAAATCTAGTTTTTGGGCTTCATGTGATTTATGTCATATATTCTTTTTTTTTCTGTGTTTTTATATACTTCTAAAAATATGAGAACCATTCTTTGGCCTGACCAGCTTTAGCTCATGAACTGGAAGGGAGTTTGTCCAACCCTGTTTAAGAAGTAATCAGAAGTTTGATGTCATGTCAAGGCAACTGGCCCCTGTGACACATTTGTAAACTTTCCTCAGCACAGAGTGGTGGGCAAGGTCATCACGTGCCTCAGCACAGCTCAGCAGAGCAGGGCTGGGCCAGGGTTGTGTCACACTGCTTTCTGAACACAGCCACCTCTGTGTTCTAATCCCAGTGGCCTTGGCTGAAAAGGAAGGCTACATTAGGCCCGAGTTAAGAATTATATATGCTTGTCTTGCTTCTGAACACTCATTTGCTCAGCTTTGGTGTGTGCTCAGCATGAAACGCCTCCATTGTGTTTTTAAGGGAAAGCTAGATGTTGAAGCTGGGTCTGAAAGCTTCGTTTTCCCAGCCTTCTCTCTACTGTCTCAGAGACGTGTCCCTAAGAGACATGGGCAAATTACTTATTGTTTTGTTTCCTAGCCTCAGCTGTAACATGAGAAGTCATATCAGCCCCGTATGGTATATTATAATATTTACCTCATTACTGTTTGAAAATTTTCCAAGTCCTTAGGTAAAAAACAGGAAAAAAAAATTCATGTCAGACTTAGAGATCCTTTCATGGTTAAAACACAACCTCAGCCTCATGTTGTTACTAGTCATGAATCATTCTTGATTCACAAGCCATGAGCTAACTCAGGCTCGTACACAAAACTAGTGTCGCCCGTCCATCAGCAGCTGGGGATAGGGACAATGCTGCATGGTGGTGGCAGGGGCCTCCTTTTGGTGTTTGCCCAAGGATGTATGACCAATGGTTTCTTTGAATAGTTGTCACATGTTTGCTTTCTCAATCAAGCTCTAATTGAACCCAGACCTGGCACCACATTTGCTCCTGTAGATTTTCCCCAAATTATAGCCTGCTAATCTTTGGAAGTTTCCAAGATAGGTGGTGTACCTCCTTAGCTCTGTCTTTGCAACAACAAAAAAAGCTTCAACACCTACAATACTTTCTTATACGTGCTCTATTTATTGCCTTCTCTTGGCATATTTCTGATCCTCTGTTACTCTCTATGTCCAAATTGATACCCAGAACCCAACATTTTTATGTGTGTATATTACACACATAAAATATATATAAAAATATATTATACAGGGCTGTGATTTATATGTCATCATTACACAGTCCAGAAGGTGGTTGAGGTATTTCTGCCCAACAGTACCATTCTGCTCTCCAGAATGGGCTCACACAGATTCTGATACCTGTGCACATATCCAACTTCCCACCTTGGCCTGGCTTCTGACCTTGAATATATAGCTACGTCCTCCATTCTAGTCATTCTAAGACTGCGCTTTGCCTCTTACCCTGCCCCCACTCTTTAGGTACATTGGCTCTCTATGTTAGCTGCCAAAGCTATTCCTATTGTACCCTCTGTTACCCCATAAGGTGTTAATGTCATCATCCTTTGGGAGTTTTGGAAAGTATGGAAAATGCCATTCAGATGCACCTGGAGGACACACATGTTGCTTTTCTTGTTGGAGGAGGGCCTTGAGCCTCCAGGATATAATTTCTGAACCTTTCAAGTCTAAACTATGCTTAGTGATGTCTTGTGTTAGTGATGTCTTTGTTGATGATAAAGTACCATGACTAAGAGTGATTTAAGAAGGAGTTCATTATGGTGTATGGTTCTAGATGGTTAAATATCCACACAGTGGAGAAGACATGGCAGCAGGTTCAAGAAGCTAAATGATTATATCTCAAGTACACACAGAAAACAGAAAGAGGAGGAGGAAGGAAGCATGGGGGGAGAGAAAGAAGAGAGAGAGAGAGAGGGAGAGAGAGAGAGCACAAAAAGTGGACCAAGAGTATAAACCCTCAAAGCTATACACAGTGTTGTACTTCCTTCAGCAAGGCTAGATCTCCTAAAAGCTCCATAACCTCCCCAAACAATGCCACCAATTGATGACCAAGCTTTCAAATACATGAGCCTATGGGGGACCATTCCCATCTAAACTACCATACTCCCTAATGGGTGGCCTGTACACCAGGGACTCCTACCTGTTCCTCACCTTCCACTTTATCTTCAAGTGTGGGTTTCATGGGAGAGTGTAATAGAGCATTGTTAATGCTGTGTTGATGGCAGCATTCTAGCCAAGTCACATTTCACTTCTGTTCCAGGCTCTCTCCAGACCAGCTCCCCTCTCAAAGACAGGGAGGTACAAAACACATGCTAGGATTCACTGTGCTGACTTCTAGTGCTTTAGAAAGACATACCTTTGTTGTAGTGACTTATCATATCTTTTTGAGATATTATGGAAATTTTCAAACATAGGAACACAGAGCTTTCCTCTACCTTTAAGGATTATCATTATGGCTAATCTCATTTAATCTGTGTCACTAGCCACAACTCAGACCTTTCCCAGGTTGCTTCCAAACAGGTCCTCATACAGTTCTTTTTAAAAATTGATGCTGTGAGCATTTAATTGACGGTAGTTTCCCTCTTCATTTTCAGTCTGCTAAGATGTTTTCATATGCTGGATGGAAGCAGACCTGCAATATCCTATTTCTCATCTTCTCTATCGTGTTCTTCATCAGCCGATTCATCATTTTCCCATTCTGGTGAGTAGACAAAGGTACCATTTTCCACCTTATAATGTTATGATGCCATCCCCTCATCTTCCCAGTTATTTCTGCCAAATTCAGCTGGATAGACAATGCGTTGGAGCCTTTCATGTTAAGCATGAAAGTGTTCTTAGTTAGTGTTCTTCTCAGTGAAAACTGAGGACAAGGGCACAATGGATCTTTTCACCCAAAGGCTGGGTCCTGGCCCTTCCAAAGACCAAGTAATCCTTCTATGATGCTGGGGTCAGCTTAATACCCTGGTGCTGCCACAGAGCAAAGGGACTTGTGTAGTGGAAGCAAGAGTCTGTGGGAGCTCAGAGCACTCCCTTGAGGTAGCGCTTTGGAGTACTGTACCTGTGGAGAGGAGATAGTTTCAGCTAACTGAACTCTGCCCCCTCGGGTAGGCTGCCCTGTGAGGAGCTCCTGACCAGCTGTGCCTTCTGTTGTCTTCTGTCACTGCTTTCTTAAGGACAATGAAAATGATCACTCATTAGACCATAGCATCTTAGGGGCCAGCCTATTCACTTAGTCCAAATCCCTTTATTCCTTACTCACTTAGAAATCATTTGGAGTGTGTAACATGGCAGCCTGTGTTTACCTCACCAGTAGCAGTTTTCCCTTTTCTTCTTCCTCCCTTACACACACACACACACGCGCACGCGCACACACACACACACACTTGTGAGTCATTTGGAAGTTCTAAATATCAACTTAATAATCTTTTACCCTAAATCTAAATCCTTCTGCATTCATGTCTTAGGAGCAGGGACAGTCTTTTTTGTTGTTGTTGTTTTTGGTTTTTTGAGATAGTTTCTTTGTGTAACTTTGGAACCTATCCTTGCACTGGCTCTGTTGACCAGGCTGGCCTTGAACTCACAGAGATCCGCCTGCCTCTGCCTCCCAAGTACTGGGATTAAACACGTGTGCCACCACCATCCAGCCAGGGGACAGTCTTTTACAAAATCACAACATAGCTTTTAATTGCAGAAAATGTTTCAATCTACTTTCCACGTTAGGATTTTAACAACCCTACTTTCTTTTTATTGCTCCCCCACCACAACATGGAACCAGGGCATGTGTTGCAAGCAGAAGACATTTATCTGAAACAGTTTATTTGTTTTGTTTTGCTTTGCTTTTTTGTTTTGTTTTGTTTTGTTTTTACTAGTTTTTTTGTTCCTTATGTCATTGTTGCAGCATTTAGATCCCATACTTACAGTACATGTGAAGGAGCCAACACCAGGAGCTGGGGAAATGTTCGGGGGGGGGGGGGTAAAGTGTTGCCATGCAAGTGTCAGGATCAGTTTGGACCATCCAGCACCTGAAAACAATAAGAATGAAAAAACCTGGTGGGCGGGTGGGGCTGCCTGCAATCTCAGCAGGAGAGGCAGAGGCTCCCGTGGCATCAAGCTAAGACTCCACACATATGCAAACATGTATACAGGTGTATGCACACGCGCGCGCGCGCCCACACACACACACACACTTAAAAGAAAAGAACTACAACCAGAAACAGCAAAAGTAGGGCCTTTGGGATACAGAGCAAAACTCTTTGCTCTTTTCAGGCAGATTTGGGGTTGAATGTAGGGCTGGATTCTAGGCAAGCTGTCTCCCACTGAGCTATAAGCCACCACCCAGTACACACCTTTCCATTATAGTTGCTGAACCAGAGGGTGAAGAGTTTGTCTTCGCTGAGTGTCTATTACATTGTCTTCATCTATACCATACCCGGAACCCCAAGACATGCCAAGCATGCCAAACATGGCTTCATCTCCAGAACCAGCCACTGGTGTCATAAGAACGAAAAATTCTCACCCTCCCTCAATCAGTGAGGAAAACACAACACAGACACCTGACACCTACAATCAGAAATTTCCACTTGGAAAATAGAACTTGTGGGTGGATGTTGGCAAAACCAGCTACTACTTATAGCAAAACTGTGACTTGTTTAAACTATGTCGACTCAATTGGTTAAGAGTGAGGAGAGGAAGCAGAACCAAATACAGAGAAAAGGCCGAGCGGGCAGTCAGATGCACAGTAGCAGCTCTGCAGTTTGGAAAGAGAAAGTTCTGTGGGTCCAGGGCTCCCCTCCACCCCGCCATGTAAAGGAAAACCGCCTTCAGCTGCTATAAAGTAGAAACATGGTAAAGTGGGGAGTAAATGGCATGCATGTCTGCACTCATGTCAGGACACGGGGATGGGGTGGGGGAGGGGTGGGGGGAGGGGTGGGGGAGGGGTGCAATGCCACGATGGCTTTTCTTGTTATTCTTTAAACAGAAGAGAAGCCGTGCAAAATGAGATTCGGTCCTTAGAAATGACAGACCAAGGCCACCCTCACCATGCTCCCTCCCCTCCATGCCCTCTGTCCTCCCACAGAGAATGCTCAGAAGGCACATCCCACTTGGCCCTCCTCCCAGCCTGATCTCCACTCTGAAGTGCCTCCTTCCCCAGCCTAGCCAGTTCTGCAGCTCCCACATGGGGCTGCTCTAACTGTGTCTCTGTTGGGCCTCTTGTTTAGGAGAGGAAGGCCCTGGAAGCAGTTGAATCAGAATGGCAGTGAGGGCGATAGCTCTAATTGCCATGCTTTGAGAGTTTACTGTGCAGAGCCCTTCTGAAGGCACCAACGTCAGTGCCATAACTCCAAGATGGGGTGGGCAAGAAGTTTTCATTTTACAGATGAACTGGGGACCAGCCGGGTAGAGGCACTCCCTGAAATCTGTGACCTCTGTGGCTCCCGCCTTTACCCGCCCCCCCCATGCCCCTCTGCATCCAGCTCACCTCCCCACCAGAGCATATGCATTTCAATGGTGGCTTTCTATTTTCCAGATGCTCAGCAAGTTTGCTAGGTAGGCTATGGGTCTATGGTGCTTCCAGGTCACAGGGGTGTGGTGAGTTCCACCTAACCCATGACTGAGGAACCAGGACAAATAGCATCATGCCATGAATCCAGCTCTGAAGAGCTTTGCCAGGTGCTTCAATTCCTATCCAAAATCAACTTGTCCCTTTGCCCTTAAAAGGAAGGCCATACCCAAGTTACCTGGATGTGAAAGTCTGTAAGACCCTCAGAATGAAGAGTCTCCCAGTTTTGGTCAGTACCCCCAAGAACTCAATGGCCAGTCCAGCTGATGCAACACGCAAGAGGCTTTAATAAACAGGAATCGTTTGCGCAAACAGGCTCCCTCAGCACACAGGCTAGAGAGAAGCATCATGTTCCCCGCACAGGCATTTTTAAAGGCAAAACCCACAAGCTTAGGGAGGGGGTGTGACCCTCTGTCCGGACCCTTTGATTCCGGATGGTCTTGCTGTTAGGGTCAGCAGACCTTAGGGCCTTGGAGTGTGCTAATTAATCTTGTCTGTGCAAACAGGGGTTGCAGCTATCTCTTTGTTTCTTAAGGACCCTGTTTACCACCTGCTGACTCACTGAAAGGAGGGGCAGTGTGAATTCTTGGTATCTTGCTATCTCAGGGCTGGTGGTTAGCAAATACTGCCCAGCATTCCAATTATTTGGGCTTTATTTCATTTCTTTGCTAGTTTAAGTCTTTCAAGGCTACACGTGAATATCTCCACCCACCTCCTGCTCCTCTCTCCATTAAAGGAGTTTTAAGCTACAGAGCTCCCAACATGGAGGGAACTGCCACTGAGGCTTTTTCAGTCCCCTGAATGTTCCATCGTGCTGCCCTAGGGGTTTCTGTATATGCAGCAAAAATATTCGCCCCCGGAATCCTCTCATCCGCCTTCACTTTGCACAGGCAGAAGCAGGGAAGTCAGTATCACTTTAGCTAGAATCTTCTTCCATGCCCCACACCCTACTCTCTTTACATGAATTACAGTGAGCAATTTATGTATTTGCTAGTTCACATTTTTTGGTACAGTATGGAAAGAACATTTTCTAGTATCCTCCTTTGTCAGTTTTGACACTGACAGATTTCTGACAGAGGAATGGATGAGGGAACGGGACCTGGAGGAGAAAGGAGAGCACAGATGACCACAGGTTGCAGCTATGGCTTTGGGAATCTGCCTGCTGGTGAGGCACACTCATGAGACAGCTGTCACCACAAAGCCAGTTGAAGTCAGCCCAGAGACCCAGGGGAAAGTTATAAAATCAGGGATAACCAGAGTAGCGTGGAGACTCTTATTATGGAGAGGTAAACAGACACAGAAATATAAAAACATCATGATATGGGCTGCATGTTGGTCTGTGGTAGAGTCTTGCCCCACATACACCAGGCCCAATCCTCACCACTGGAAGGAAAAAAAGAGGGTATAGCAACTTGTAAGTTGTCCTCAATTAGTAAATAACCTCATACCCATGGGGAGGGAGAGTCACTGTATTTAAGTTCATCATTTAAGTTTAGACAATGAATATAGGCTAATACATTTCTTAAAGGAAAATTGATATACATAGAATTCACCAAAGAACAGGTGAAAATTAGTAACATGTAAATATGGTAGCCTCATCTGAGATAAAAAGTCAATATATACAGGCAATGCTCTTTTCCACGGAGACTGACAAAACATGGTGTTGCTCAGGATCTGAGGGAGTGGTGCCGTCATGCTGGGCACAAGAACAAAAGTTGGGTGGTCTTGCAGGAAAGCAGCTGAGCAAAATATTACCACGCTCAATGAGTGCAGTGTCTGATGGGTCCAGGATTTTAGCTTCTCTAAAAGAAGACTCAAAACAATCTCAATAACATGCATTTCAAGTAATTTTCACCATGTTCTTTATAATATAGATTTGGAAGGAACTTATCTATCTTATCAGGAAAGAATTAAGTTGCAGTGTGTTTGTGAAATGGATCTTGTACAGCTGTTACGTAGAATGATGTGTGGCAGATAATGGTAAACTATGGCTTAGGGTCAACTCTAGGTCACACTCTGGTTTGTTAATAAGTTTTATTGTGACTCACCCAGCCACACATTAATTTATATGTAAGGTGCCATATAGTTGCTGTTTTCTTACAATGTCAGGATTAAGTAGTTGTAACACAGAGAGCAGATGACCCGTGGCCTTATCTTTTCTTTCTTTCTTTTTTTTTTTTTGTTTTTACTACTTTTTTTTGAGGTTATAGTATAATTACATCATTTCTCTTTCCTTTCCTTTCCTCCCTTCAAACTCTCCCATATTCTCTTTTAAATTCATGATCTTTTTTATTTTTAAATAATTTATTTTTGTTTTTTTTATGTATATTGATGTTTTTCCTACATGTTTGTTTGATCTTGTAGTTACAGATAGTTGTGAGCTGCCATGTGGGTGCTGGAAATTGAGCCTGAGTCCCCTGGAAGAATAATCAGCTCTTAACTGCTGAGCCATCTCTCTAGCCCCCCTTATGGTATTTTTTTCCATTAATTATTGTTACTTATGTATTTGTATTATTATATACATATATATTTCTTAATACATAAATCAGCCTGTAGAATATCGTATGTACATATTTTTTCAGTGCAGACCATTTGGTGTTGGTTGGCCAGTGGGTGTGCTCTTCCTTGAGGAAGACTGTGTCTCCAGATGTTAGCATTTCTTAGTTGCCTGTAGTTCTTTGTGTAGGATTGGGGTCTTGGAGTCTTTCTCTATCCACGTTAGTCTGTTGTGGTTGTCCTTGTTCATGTCATACTGGGGCAATCATATTGGTGAAACGTTATAGGTGTAACTTCTGTCATTACTAGAAGACACAATATCAGAGCAAACCTCCACCCCATTTTCTTCAGTGATCCCAGATTCCTAAGAGAGTTGTCTTGTAGCTGTGTCCACTGAGACTGAGCTCTGTGACTGCAGTCTGGTTGGTTGTGGTCTTCTGCTATGGTCTCAGTCTGTTGCAAAGAGCAAGTTTCCTTGATAAAGGTTAAGAACTGTACTTGTCTGTGGGTATAAGGACTAATTTTAGACTGTATTTAGGGATTATACTGGCTTGGTGAAGTGACAGAATGTGGCATCTCCTTCATTATCTGTGACATCACTGGCTCTGGGTAGAACACACAAGTTTGCTTGATTCTAATACATAGCTACATTCATTGACATGAAAAATTCTCTGTGACATGGAGTAGGAAAAAGTCAGGGTCCCAAATCATACATGCAGTGTTTCTCTGATATATAAAACCCTGTGAGTGAAAGATACATGCTAACATCTGCAAGTTGTGCAAGTTCTGGGTGTTTTTAAAACCTCTTCACATTTTATGTATTTTTTGAATCCTAAGTGGACAATAAAGTTATATTTTTGAGTTAAAAAGCAAACCTGAGAAATGTCTGCATAAAAAATGGGTAAATTATACAATGAGTTTTTGAGCAGGCAGAACTTGAGCTGATTGATCACTCACACAAGAGGAAGCAGTTGCTGAGTAGACATAGAGGATCTTCACAGACTTGCAAAACCTGTTTAAATTGTGCTGTTTTTTTTTTTTTTTAAATTAGGAAACCTTAAACCCACCAGATACTTATGGGGAGATAAACTGTTCATGAATTTCTGATGACTTTATAATCTGTAATTTTAGAAAATAATGTGGCAGTGTTTGATACTCTCCAAAATGCACCTTTAATGTACATTTTGAATACACTTGTAAGATTTTCCACTTGGAAAAGACTGGATGCATTGAGCTTTTTGAACAGCATAAAATGATTTTGGTATAAATGAATTTAAATGGTATCTTGGTCACTATTCTATTGCTGTGAAGAGACACCAGGACCAAGGCAACTCTTCTAAAAGAAAGCCTTTAGCTGAAGGCTTGCTTACAGTTTCAGAGGGTCAGTTCGTTATCGTCATGGCAGGAAGCATGGTGGCGTGCAGATGGACATGGTGCTGGAGGAGCTGAGAGTTCTACATCCTGTCCATAAGCAGAGAGAGAAACACTGGGCCCAGCATGGGCTTTAAAAAAATCCTCAAAGCCCACCTCCATTGACACACTTCCTCCCACAAGGCCACAAATACTCCAAAAAGGCCATACCTACAAATCCTTCTCAAACAGTGCCATTCCCCTAAGCATTCAAACATGAGCCTGTGGGGCCATTCTTATCCAAACCACCACAAATGTAAAGCCTGCCAAGGGCTATATTTAACATGGAGCGGATATCTCTGCAAGATAATATGCAGGACAGACATGGGAGGAGGTTATACAGCAGCCACTCCAGAGATCAGTACTTGGGTCGCTTGTAAAATTAACCCTGTACTTGCCAAACACCACAAAGTGGTTCCACCTGCCTACTCACTCTTCTGCAGCTGGTAACAACAGCTGATTCTTTTCCAAAAGGCCAAACATGGAAAACAACTCCAGTCTCCTCAGTAGGTAAACATGTAAGTGTGATCTGTTCATACAATGGGACACTGAGTGACACAAAGAAATGTTACTGATTCCCATGGGGACTTTGTAGCTGGACATTTTCGTCAGGACTGTCAGTTCCCTAGTAACGACATGGAAACATTATTAATTATGAAATATTAGGCTTATTCTTAACTAGATCTTATAATTTAAATTAACCCATTTTTAAAAAATTAATCTACATTCTACCATGTGACTTTTATCTCTTTCCCATTTTGTGTGTCCAACTCATTCTGCATCTGGTAGTCTTCTCCTGGCATCCTCACCCTTCTTCCCAGCATCCTCTCGGCCTGGAAATCCTGCCTACTAGCTATTGTCTGTTCAGATTTTTATTAAACTGATAACAGTAACACATCTTCATAGTGTACAAAAAGATTATTCCACAACAGGACTTGATTGAGTCATAAGAGCAGTGGGCAAGTAAAAGACAACAATCTCAAAATACACTCTGGGGAAGGATATGAGTGAAGGAACCCAACTGATAATCTGAGCAATAGTGGAGAGACTACCTTCAATGCCCTTCCATGACAATGAGATTGATGACCACCTTATGTGCCATCCCAGAGCCTTCATCTAGTAGCTGATTGAAGCAGAAGCAGACACCCACAGCTAAACTCTAGCGGAATATCTGGAATCCAGTTACAGAGAAGGAGGAGTGATGAGCAAAGGGGTCAAGCCACAGAAACTGCTGACCTGAACAAGGGGGAGCTCATGGCCTCCAGTCTGATAGCTGAGAAACCAGCATAGGACTGACCCAGACCCACTAAACGTGGGTGTTAGTTGGGAGGACTGGGCAGTCTATGGGGCCTCTGGTAGTGGATCAGTATTTTCCCTAGTGTAAGAATGGACTTTGGGAGCCCATTCCACATAGAGGGATACTCTCTTAGCCTAGACACATGAGGAGGGCCTAGGCCCTGCTCCAAATGATAAGACAGACTTTGAAGACTCCTCATGAAGGCCTCACCTTCTCTGGGGAGCAGAAAGGAGAAGGTCTGGGGATTGGTGCGGGAGGCAGGGAGAGTGAGGGAACTGGGATTAATATGTAAAACAAGCTTGTTTCAAATATAAATAAAAAAATAAATAAGTGAAGGCTGGAGAGCAGATAAGTGGCTGTACTGGGATGTACTGGGTTGTACTGGGTTGTACCGGGCTATATTGGGTTGTACTGGGCTATACTGGTTAAGGTGGAGAGGGTGTGACTACAGAGGAATAGATCACTATGTTCCTAGGCATCGTGGCCTGTTCTACATCCTAGGGCTCACTGAACTCTATGCCAAACCTCAGCAAATGTGGCTGTATGTTAATTTAAAAATTAAATAACTGCATGGGAAAAATTACAGTATCTTTTAAGAGGTGATGCTGTGAACAATTTTTTGTTCTTTTGTTCTTGTTTTCCCAATGTAAATGGGCAAATTATTTTTATAAGTAAGTACATGTTTATGACCCACCCATTCTAAAGACTCTAGGATTGACACAGTGGCATGAGGTTAGCTGAAAGAACATTTAGCCTTTTATCCTGGAGTAAGAGCTGAAGATGCTATGCCTCTTGATATATCAGGGGCAGTGAAATTGTGTTCAGGAGTCTATGGATGCAGCAGATACAGTGGGCAGTTCACTTTAGGAAATGGCAGCAATTGTGAAATATGTGTTTAGGGCAGGGGTACTAGGGATTGAATCCTGGCCTTGTGTGTGCCTGGTATCACATGTAAACGTATTATCTCAATTGCTTGACTTCTCTCTTCCTAGAAGGTAAAGATGTTCATGGAAGCTTTTCTGTTTACAAGCAGGGAACTGAGGCACAGGAATTCTCGTTCAAGTGGTGGCACGAAGGTCACTTGCTGCTGGTTTTCTATTAGGAGACAGGCTATACTTTTTGATTGTCTGTAAGGGTGATGTAAATGGTAATGGCCCTTTTTTTCCTATAGAGAATTTTATAGACATCATTTGAAATTAATTACTGGCATATGTTTGGGGAGAAGAAACATGCTCTTGTGTTGAAAATTCTCCAGTGCTTTGGCCATAGTGAGATCTTCCACCTGTTTTTTTTTTTTTTTTTTTTTTTCTGCCCCACAGGATTTTGTACTGCACCCTGATTCTGCCTCTGTACTACCTCGAACCCTTCTTCTCATACATCTTCCTCAACTTCCAGCTCATGGTCCTGCAGGGCCTTCACCTTTACTGGGGTTATTTCATAATGAAGATGCTCAATAGATGCATATTCATGAAGGTAAGTGCTGGCCAGTCTGAGCTGTTTCTAAATTGTAGTCTAATTGTACACGTGGAGTCCAGACCGTGGAGCACCATGGTCCTTCATCATTTTGTTTACTTTATTGATAGAAGCTGGACCCTTATACTTGTTATGTCCTACAGCTAGGCTAAGTCACTGGCAGAGTTGGAGTGAATGTCAGTGAGTATAAAACTATGAACACAGTTTTAACTAGAATTATTTACTTTTATTGATTGTTTGAGGTGCTGGGGATCAAACCCACATGCTAGGGTGGTGCTCTACCAGTGATCTGTTTTCTGAGCTTTATGCTCACGATTTCTCTATGGTATAGTGTCAGATTTTTCGTGAGTGGGTCTTTGCTTTAGGGGTTTGGGGTGTAGCTTGGCAGTAGAGTGTGTTTCAAGTATGTCTAGCACTGAAGAGGAAGAAGGAACTTTATTAGAGAGTATGGTAGTTGGAATTGATATATATATATATATATATATATATATATACACACACACACACACACACATATATATATATATATATATGCATTTTATGTATGAGTGCTCTGTCTGCATGTATGCTTGCATGCCATAAGAGGGCATCAGAACATCGATCCCATTATTAATGGTGTGAGCCACCATGTGGGTGGGAATAGAATCCAAGACCTCTGGAAGAGCAGCCAGTGTTCTTAACCGCTGAGCTATTTCTCCAGCTCCAAAAGTTAGAAAATTTTTAATACAAAAAGAATGGCTGCTGCTTTGAGAATCCCTTGAGTCAGACCTTACTTGTTTTGAGATGTGTGTGTGTGTGTGCATGCATGTGTGTATGCAACTGTCCATGTGTCCTATGTATGTGCATATATATAGCTACACATGTGTCTGTGTTATGTGTATACAACTGCAAATATGTAGGTGTGTGTATGCAGCTGCACATGTGTCTGTGTTATGTGTGTATGTATACAGCTGCCCATGAATATGTATTTATGTATGTGTACATGTGTGTGTATACAACTGCACATGTGTATGTACTATAAGTGTGTATGTATATATTTATACAGTTGCACAATATATATCATATGTATGTGTGTATATGTATGTATACAGCTGCACATGTGTCTGTTATATGTATGTATATGTATGTATATAGCTGCACATGTGTATGTGTTATGTGTATGTATTTATACAGTTGCACAGTATATGTCATATGTATGTGTGTAGATGTATGTATACAGCTGTACATGTGTCTGTATTATATGTATGTGTGTGTATGTTTGTACACAGCTGCACATGTGTCTGTGTGTGTATGCAGGTGCACACATGTATGGTAAGTATGCATATGGGGGCCAGAGGTCTATGGTGGGTGTCTTTTTCAATGTCTCTCCACCTCATTTTTTTTTTGAGACAGAGTCTCTCACTGACCCAGAGCACACTAATTTGACTAAGCTGCAAAGTCTGGTTCCTCAGTACTGAGTTACACATGTGTTCCAATGCTTTGTGCAGCTTTTACATGGGTTCTGGGGATCTAAACTCACATTCTCACACAAACACTTTACTACTGAGCCATCGCCTCACCCCCAGATAAGCTTTTTGAGATGGGTGAATTATATGTCAGAGCCTTATATTTCCCTGCTGAACACCCAGTTTGCATGTAATATTTCCCTGCTGAACACCCAGTTTGCATGTAATGCTTTTTGCATGACCTTGCTTCTGCTTTTGGAATATTGCCCATCATTTGTCTGTAGTTTGTTTCCGAAAACAACTTTGCTAAATACAGCCACACATTGCTTAACTACAGATCATATTCATAGATGCATTACTAGATGATTAAGTCATTGTGTGAACTCACAGAGATCTAGTTGGTATTGGCTACTGCACACTTAAGCAGCTATGTGGTATAGCCTAGCGCTCTGAGGATCAAAATAAGCACATCAAGAGGTTAATTGAAACAGATAGTAAAATTATGAGAGCTGCTAAACATTGAAATGTATGAGACTGGCTGAAGTAACACAGCTACACCTTTACAGTATGCACCTATATAAATATGTAGATATGATAATGATGAAAGTTTTATAGTAAGTACATAAGCACGTGGCATTCATTTACCATCATCATCAAGTTCTATAAATTATACATAATTGTCTCTTGTAATTTTATGCACTCAGCAGTATAGTAGGTTTGCTCACACCAGCATCACTCCACATATGCAAGTAACATATTATGCTTAAGTGTCAGGACACCTGCTGCCTTCATTGGCTGACAATGAGTACTTGTCAGATGCATTGTTATCTTTACTAGTAGGGTAGGTGTGATTGGAAATGACTAAATGTGGTTATATAAAATACATGACATATATATATATATATATATTACATAAAATTCCTAATATCTTTTATATTTTTGGCAGTTTACATTTATTTTGTATTTGGTTTGGACTTTAATTTCAGAAACAGTAAGGACAGAGCGTGAGAAATGCATGAAGCACAATCACTGACTTAGGGAAGTAATCCACTCCCTAGCAACAATTTTACAGTGTATGCCATGGAGGGTGCTGCACAGTGGGCCCCGGGGCTTGTTATGGAAGCAAAAATTGTTGACTGTGAGGACAGACTACCGAGTGATAGGATTTGAGCTGGATGTTGAAACCAAGTTAAAAAAAGTCGGATCTGTCTTTCTGTGCCTAAAGAAACATCCTTAAGTATCTTTCAGGATGATAGCTGGAGCTGGTCCTCTCTGGGGTGCCACCACCTGTGTACAACAACCTCATGTCACCAATGAAGAGTCACATGCAGCAAGTAGCTGCATTCTAATCAGATACATTCATTTTTCATCAAATCTGGTTTATTCATTTCTCTACTTTAGTAAACTTACCTGAAAGGCCCCTGAAGAGTGAACAATGGATGGGCAGTGTAGTACTCCCCTCTGAGTTCTCGGCCATCTCTCAGCCTCTAGATCTAGAGATCTGAGCCACATCTGGGTTAATATTTTTAAAAACAAGCCCTGAGAGGTTTTGTGGCTTATTTTCAAGGGGTAGGGTTCTGGCTGGCCTGCAACTCACTATGTAGAGCAGGTTGACTTCAAACTTACAGAGCTCCTTCTGCCTCTACCTCTCCCATGCTGGGATTAAAGATGCTCATGTCACCACTCCAGGCTGCCTGAAAACTGATTTTCCCACTAAAGCTGGAGTGCCAAGAAATTAACTTAACTGAATGTTCTAGATCAGTGTTCTAGCTAATAGGAGTTCTAAGCAATTTCCTATGAAAATGGCATCTCTGCATGACAGGCAAAGGTGAAGAGCACAAATGATGTTCCAAGGTGGACAGATAAACAACTGATGCTTGTAGTAGTTGGCATAAAAGGGGGGCCTCAGTTAAACCTGTTCCATCTGGTCTACTGACCCTTCCTGGACTTCCTGCCCTGGTAAAGAAACCATCCTTACATTAGCTGATGAGTGACAATATTCCAGGTCTGGCAGAAAGCCAGGGAGGGCCACACTTGGAAGCCAACAGAAGCCCTTGTTTGGCTTCACTGTGACTTTCACAGTTCTGATGCCGAATGGGTCATGCCAGCCTGGCAGACGGTGATCAAAAATTCCTGGCTTCTCATGCAATACTTGGAAAAGCTTTTCCAAATGCAATTTGATGGCCGCATGGCCCTGCAGCCCTAATTCTTGCTGTGTGTATGACTTCAGCTGGCTCGCATATGCTGTCTCTTTTCTGCTGCAGTGGTAAAACTGGCCGTGAAACCAGTGAATTCTTCCAAAACCATAAAGCCTCCTTTTAAAGAATGGCATTCGAAGGCAGAGTTGCATTGCAAGGGGAGAGAGGAGAGCTAAAAGTCTTAGAGGGGCATTTAGTCTCAGAGGCAGTTAGTTGTTACCAAGCTGACTAATTCCTGAATACATTAAACATGGAATTACAGGAGTTTACAGACCTCCAAGAATGTCTTTCAAGTCTTGTAGTGGAGGTTAAGAATTTGTTCCTTCAACTCCTTTACATATGGCAGGCTCTCAGAAAGTAATTTTGAGTATGCAGAGGTAGGTGATTTTGGAGAAAGAAACCACACTGTTTTAGATGTTGTTGTGTGACAAAACTTTTTTCTGGGGAGATGTAATATACATGTCTTCACGCTTGACAGGGAACTCACATCAGAACAAAGTATGGATACCACCCAAGTCCAAGTTGGTGAAGCAATGGGTTTTATTGGAATTATTTACAGGAATATAGGTGAGAGGTTACTTATAAGAACAGAAATGATACAGAGACACCTGTATCACCAAGCCCATTCCAGCATGGGTGACAGCTCACAAAAGCTAAACTTGGAGCATACTGTACAGCCTGCAGGGAGCTCACCAGGTTGGGGAAGTGTCCTTTCCAGGTGCCTCAGTTTTCCTAACCTCTCCCAGGCATCAGGCTGGTTTCTGCTTCTTGCAGACAGCTGGTCTGGCCTCGGAGTCATCTTTAAAGTTTGTTTGGCTTAGCTGGGTCTGAGAGGGAGTCTAGGCTTTTATTCCTTACTCTGGCAGGGTGGGGCCTGGTAAACCTGGTCAGATTCAGGAGCTTTCTGAAGATATTTTGAGTTGTATACCTTCCTGTTTAAGGTGCTTCCCTGCAGGATGGAGTGTTTCAAACTCAGAGGAAAGAATACACAACAGGCAGAAAGTTACAAAATAATTACTCATTTTTTGTATTCCTGTACTTATATAGCAGCCTGAAAAGAAGGCTAAAACTAGCATGCTTTGTAATGGTCACTTTTTGCACTAACCAGAGTCTTTGCATGTACATAGCAAATGACGGATGACCACTATTTGCTTTTGTTCTTTAATATCTTAAAGTAAGACTATCACTACAGGGCTGGGGGGCAGAGGATCAATCAGTAAAGTGCTTGACTTGTAAGCATGAGGACCTGAATTCAATCCTGGATCCCATATGAAGAAGTCAGGCATGATGACACATCTTCTAATCCCAGTACTTGAGAAGCAGAGACAGGAGGGTCCCTTTGGTTTGCTGACAAACT